CCTTGCAGTCCATTCCTATCAAGCTGCTTCACTGCTACAACCTGTGACATGCCAAAACTACACTCTCTTATACTCATCTATAACGCGTCGTCTTAAAGATAAACAAAATGATTATCAAACGAGGAAAACGGGAGACGGGACGATGAATATGGTACCTGGGAAATTTTGTCGAGTTTGCCCTTGTAAACTCTCCCGAACCCGCCCTCTCCGATCAGACACTCTTCGCGGAAATTCTTCGTGGCAGTGGCCAGCTCTCTGAACGTGAAGGTTTTTGCTGCAATGTTGTTCTTTCCTCCAATCTCATTTTCTTTCTCTGCTTCATTTTGCACTTGGTTTCCTTTTGTATTTTCTGTACATATATGTAAACTTAGTCATTTTTAGAAGCTCAATGAATGTAAGATCTCGGGAGAGGTTTCCACACCCTTATAAGGAATGCTTCGTTATCCTCTCCAACTGATGTAAGATCTCACAATCCACCTCCTTAGGGGCTATTAGGAATCACGACTCTCAACAATGGTATGATATTGTCCACTTCGAGCATAAGCTCTCGTGGCTTTGCTTTGTGCTTCCTCAAAAAGCCTCGTACCAATGGAGATATATTCCTTTAGTTATAAACCCACGATTATTCCCTAAATTAGCCAATGTGGGACTCGCTCCCCATAATCCTCAACAGGGGCCAGCGTCCTCGTTGGCACACAGCCCAGTGTCTAGCTCTGATACCATTTGCAACAACCCAAGCCTACCTCTAGCTCTAATACCATTCACACGCTTATTAGAAATGTTTCATTTCTCCCTCCAGCCAATGTGGGATCTTACATAATATGACCTCTAATCGTTCCTATGTCATGGGAAGATAATGGGGTTGGGTTTAGGACGTGTCTTTCCATCTCGGTCAAGAATTCCAATTACAATCATTACCCTATTTCCACAAATGGGGTTGGGTCGGGACGCCTTTTCCATCTGTATCCTTAACGAGATTCTCAATCTCTATTACTCTATTCCTATCCAATTTCCATGAACGGAATCGAATTGGGAAGCCTTCTCCATCCTCATCCTCATCGAGACTTTCAATCTGTATCACAACCCGATTTACAAATTTCAAAATTAACAAGAGAATTCAAAAGAAGAAATAAAAATGACCTGAAGGAGGAGAAGGATGATGTTGTTGTTGTGGTTTAAGGCTGCGAGAATGCAACGAACCAGATTGTTTCCTTCTACAATTCTTTCTTCTTTTGGGTGCTTTCCCGTGAGATGAAAAACATGAAAAGCAACCCATTATCGTAATAATCTTCCTCCCACAATCTCCAAAAACCATAAAAACATCATCTTTTTAAACCCCTTGTGGGTATCAACATCAAACCAAATGGCCCCTACAACCAATGGATGAACTGCAAATTGCAGGCTCTGCAAGGGACACAGATACCCAGAACGAGGCTTGAACGAGGAAGTTAAGGAGAGAAGGGCTAAGAAGGAGGAAAAATAATTTATAATTTTTGTTCTTTTGGTGTTTCCACGAAGGTTGGAGGAAACAAGAGTTAAAAAAAGACACCAAATGATTGCCATAAAACAACTCATACTCCGACGTGTGAGCCATTTTAGGGTCATGTTCCCGTTTTGTTTGACTATCATACTTATTTTAGTTTCATTTCGTTCATTTTAACCCTTATCGTTTAGATCGTTTGAAAGATCATTCTTTCTGTCAATTAGTTGAACTATAGTTTAAATCTTATAACTTTTGTACTTCTCGTTCTTTTTATTATCCAAAGATTTAATTTCAAGGTTTTTATCGAGATGTAATACCCTACCCTAATGCAAGATAGACAGATAACATGACCATACGTTAATATTACGAGTATCATAATAATTCTTAAGGTAATAGCGTGACATCTATTATTCAAACATTATTAAATTTAAGATTATATTAAATTTATGTGATGTATGGCTACGTAATGCATTTAGTCGAGGTGTTTTTTTTATTTATTTATAATATAAAGAGCATGGGGTTCCACGTTTTGTGGAGGTCAACGTTTGGCATGCGTTGACCGACGGTGATTCAACAAGCATGTCTTATTGTCTTTGATTTGCAACGTTGGCAACCCGATTTTTTAAAATTATTTAAGAATTAAATTTTAATTTCTAGAAATTAAGTCGATAATTTATTATTTTTTTTAATAAAAATTATATTAAAAAATAAAAAATTAAAAAAAAATTATCCAATGATTTTTTGTCAAAATAAATAAATTTTTTTGCGAGAGTAGGGAATGAAATAGGTGGCCGAGATGAGAATAAAGATAAAGATAAGGAAGTCTCATCTCCGTCCCCGCCCTGCCTTATGGATGTCTCTAGACATATTGCTGAACTAAAAAAAATACCCGTAAACTATAGTCGATACTGTAATTGAACCGTGTACAACCCGAGTCCAATTTTTTTTTAACTAAATAACCCTCGAACTAATACAAATATAAAAATTAGGCACTCGAAGTTTTAATTATAAAAAATAAACCCCAAACCTAGAATATAATGATAAAAAGTGCCCTCAAAATTTGAAAAATTAAACCAAAAATGAGTTTGGTATCATATTTCATATCAACTTTATTGGAAAATGTGTTTGAGAAAAGAAGACAAAAACAAAAGGGTCCTCTCTCTCTCTCTCTCTCTCTCTCTCTCTCTCTCTGCTCTGTCTCAGTGCTGCTTTACATTAATCTTTACAAAACTTGTCACATTTTATATTAATCTTTCGTATATTATATGCTTTTATTTGTTTAATGGTTCTTAGATATGTATAATATATGATTTAATCTCTAAGATATGATGAGTTTAATCCAAAGTATCATCACGAATATATGCAAGAAATAAAGGGCTATTACATACACATAAAATGAAAAAAACCAAACAAATAAACAACCTAAAACGACCAAACCTCTGCAAACGTTTGTAACTTTCTGTTGTGTCTTTAGTTGGATATAGGGTTTGGACCACTTGGAACTTCATGGGCTTCGGCTCCGAGCTCTCCGATCGTGGCTGGGGAGTTTTGGAGTCGAGATTCAAATGGTTGGACGGCGGTGGCAGTGGAGGCGGTGGAGAGAAGACGGTGGCGGTCGGCCGCCATGGAAGGGGAGGAAGTGAGGGTTAGAAGGAGGAGGAAGGAGAAGAAGAGAGAGAGAAAGTGAGGTGATGAAGATTGTTTTTGTGTAGCAGATGCCATACAATTTAAGACAAGAAGCCACCCCCCAACACCCCTTCAATGGTTCAATCTCCATGAACCACCATCAACACCAACCTATGAAGGAAGAGAAATAGGGTTTGTAAATGTCTAAGAACCAAAAAGAACAAAAAAAAAAGTATAATATTTGGAAGATGCTTTAAATGGGGTTGCGTGAAAATACAATAATGCCCTTGTACACACCATTTTTTTTTTGTGGGGCGGATAAATATTTAGGGCAAGAATTACGTCACCGAAAAAAGATCGTTAGGGTTAACTAAGTAAAATAGTGTAGCAAAAAATGGTTATTTATCGAGTCGTTTGGTTTCAAGGCAAAAGACCTGCTATATTCACATGATGTCATTAGAAATAGTCGAGTAAAACGTAGTTTAGTCTAAAAGAGTATTGTCTGGCTCGAGAAAGAGTATAGGGCCTTTTGTAATTTTACATTTCTTTATTGTTATTTTATAGTAAAAAGGGGAGTTATACTTTGACCAACTTTAAGGAACTTTTCAATTTATTAAAGCTAAATATACTGATTTTAATTTGTTTTTCAAAAGAGTAAATTACCTTTTTGCCCATATACTTAAGAGACGATAAGAGATGGTTTATTCCATTTGGCTTCTAATAATCTCATTAAAAAAAATTGTCCATTAATTGAAGTTAAATATACCATATGGTAAGAAAAATTTTCAATGGTATTTAAATAAGAGATGAAAAGACATTTTTACCCCAAAAATGGTAGAGATATTTTTTTTACCATTTCCTGGTAAAAGCTATTGCTCCAATAACCCCCATTTTTTTAACTTCGAAAACTTTCTACTGTTGTTTTATGGGTTAAAAAAGGAAAGTTATCTTTTGACCAAGTTTTATAGATTTTTCAAATAATGGCTATTCTTTTATCTTAGGTAATTCTTAATTTACTTTTTAATATTTTAAAATCATTAATTTACCCTTAATGCATATAAATTTCTCAATTTAGCATGTCACTTTATTTATTTATTTATTTTCAAAAAATGAATTTTAATTAATTTTTATTACATTCTCAAGATTTTATTTTTTTTAAACTTTTAATTAGTTTTTAGACTCATGATTACTTGTAATAAATAAATAATATATATATATATATATATTTGTAAGTACAAATAATTAAAATGGGTAATTAGTGCTAAAGGTTAAAAATGGAGTGAGAACAAACATCGAGCCAATCAATGACTAAAAGTATTCTTACAAAAATGTTATAAATGCCTTTTCTTTTGAAATATTAATTTTTAAAATTACTTTAAATTAGTCTCTGCCCATAATTTCCATCTTTATCTTATTTATTAATTACATTTCTTGTCGTAATCTTGTCCTCGTCTCTAACCCCAACCTCACTTAATTGGATAAAATATTATTAGATTTATTAAAATATTTTTATTTTTATTTTTTTAAATAGAAATTATCTATTAAAAATTATTTGATATATATAGACGAATTTGTACATTTTAATGCTACATTTGCAAATAAATGAGAATTTTTTTGAGAATGAAAAATGAAATAAGAGGTTATATCTAGAATGTTGTTTATTTAAATTCACAAGAGACGCTTGGTAGTGGAATAGGTAGAGTTTGACCAAACCACTATAAAACTAATGTGTCATATTTTCTAGCTTATTCACACGTTTAGGGTTGCCATACCGATCCAACCGAATGAACATCCCAAATTAATCCGGGTCCTTGGGTCTAAGAGAAATCAAGGAAAAAAGGACCATAATCTAAAAGGAATTAAAATTAGTATTAGTATTATGCCCTAGATATCAAAATCACAAACGCCCAAAAGGCGGTTAGTCTCTCTCAATTGCTCTTGCTCCCCTCGCTCAGCCGCTGGCAGCAAACACCGGCTTCTCACTTCGGTGGACAAGTATGTTTTCTTCTCTTTTGGAATCTAAAGCATAAACAAAAAAAATTCAAGAACTCTTCTATTCCATAACTTCAAAGAAGATTTGAGGACCGAGAATTCTATTTGGTATCTCTCTCTCTCTCCCTTTCAGTTCAACAATTCTTTTTTTTTTTTTTGAAATTATGTTTGAGATGATTTATCTTATCCCTGGAACTGATCGGCGTTTGTTGTCTTCTCCTTTCCAGGCCATTATTGATCTCCCTGTTCGAGAACCCAGTTAACCGAATTTGATTTTTGAGCTTTACGAGACCTTAAAGGAGCAGAAATGGCTCACTCGACAACCCAGAATGCTGTTAATCTGCTTCGGCGTCTTGGAAGGTCTGGCATGGTTGACGAGGCGCTTGCTGTGTTCACTGAACTTGATCCACATAAGAAAAACACATATGTTCGTAATGTGATCATTGATTTGCTTCTGAAATCTGGGCGAGTTGATAATGCATTGAATGTGCTCGACGAAATGCTGCTTCCAGGTTCGGAGTTTCGACCCAATGATATAACTGCTGATATTGTTTTCACTAAATTGTTGAAGATAAATGGGTCGGATTGGAGAGTCAAGGAAAATGAAATTGCTGGGTTGGTAGCCAAATTTGGTAAACACCATGTTGTTCCTAATCCCATTACATTAACCCAGTTGATCTCCAAGCTTTGTAGGAGTAGAAATATAGATCTTGCATGGAGTGTTTTAGATGATTTGATGACATGGAATGGTCTTAAAGATGCTGCACCCTGCAATGCGCTCTTAACAGGTTTGGGAAAGGAGAGGGAATTTGAGAAAATGAATTTGCTAATGCGAAAGATGAAGGACATGAATGTTCAACCTAATGTTATAACTTTTGGTATTCTTATCAACCATATGTGTAAGTTCAGAATGATTGATGATGCACTAGAGGTGTTTGAGAAAATGAAGGGCGAAAAGGAGGAGGCCAAGGCCGTTGCGCCTGATGCAATCACTTACAATACATTGATTGATGGGCTCTGTAAAGTGGGTAGACAAGAAGAAGGATTGCGCTTGCTGGGAACAATGAGATCTGATGGCTGTAAACCCAATACTGTTACCTACAATTGTTTGATTGATGGGTACTGTAAGGCAGGTGCAATCGAGACAGCCCATGCGCTCTATGACGAGATGGTCAATGAACAAGTCGTGCCAAATGTAATCACCCTCAATACTTTAGTTGATGGAATGTGCAAGCATGGCAGAATAAGCAGCGCGGTCGAGTTCTTCAGGGAAATGCAGCAGAAGGGCTTGAAAGGAAATTCTGTTACTTACACGGTGTTCATCAATGCTTTTTGCAAAGTGAACAATATCGATAAGGCAATAGAATTTTTTGATGAAATGTCCAAAGCTGGATGTTTTCCTGATGCTATTGTCTATTATACTTTGATATGTGGTTTAGCCCAAGCTGGAAGGTTGGACGATGCCACCTCCGTTGCGTTGAGGATGAAAGCGGCAGGGTTTCGACTAGATCTTGTTTGCTACAATCTTCTTATCAGTGAGTTTTGTAAGAAGAACAAATTAGATGAAGCTAATGAATTGCTGGATGAAATGGAGGTGGTTGGAATCAAGCCTGACAGTGTCACATACAACACTTTGATTTCTTACTTCAGTAAAATGGGGAATTTAGAATTAGCCCTTAAATTTATGGAAAAGATGACCAAGGAGGCGTGTCTTTTACCGAGTGTCTTCACTTATGGAGCTGTGATTCATGCATATTGCTTGACCAACAATACTGATGAAGCCATGAAGCTTTTCAAGGAAATGACCGCTACATCAAAGGTTCCTCCCAACACAGTGATATACAATATATTGATAGATTCTCTATGCAAAAGAAATGAGGTCAGTTCCGCTCTTGCTCTATTTGACGATATGAACGTTAACGGGGTTAAGCCGAACACCACAACATATAATGCTATTTTGAAAGGGCTGAAGGAGAAGAAATGGTTGGAGAAAGCGTTAGAAGTTATGGATAGAATGGTGGAACAAGCATGTAATGCTGATTATATAACAATGGAGATTTTAACAGAATGGCTTTCTTCCGTGGGTGAAACTGCAAAATTGAAAAGATTTACACAGGGATACAAGGTTTCTGATTTTGCAGCCTCAAGTAGCTGAAAGGGTGAGGTGATTTGTTTTGATTAATCGACATGCTTATCGGTAAATAATCAAAACTTTCTCAAAACTTTCTCATGGCGTTGTGCCAAATATCTGAATTCTTAGCGTATTTAACGATACGACTTCGAGGGGAGGATTAGGAAAGGACCTGTTGTTCTTCTAGTTCAGCTGCATCAGGATCATATTAACAACTAGTCCTACCCTTTGTAGTGTGATTATCTCAAAAACTCGAAAAAAGGAGGTGATGGTGCTTGTCATTTGATCTATAACCAAAAATGGTGGTGCAGGACTTTTGGTTCAGTAGGAAAATCTACACGAAATACATTGGATAGACATTTATTTTTCGAGAAGTTTCTTTGCTCTCTACTTGATCAAGTACCAAAAATGTAGGCATATAAAATTGACTATAACAGTCGTTTTTAACTCGTTCCTATATTCAAAATTTCAAATAATAATGTTACCAAACGGGTAGTGTTCGATCACGTCAAGAATCTCATAAGATATCTGAAAGACGAACCTTAAGAAGGCAATAATTACTATACGACTTTGAGACTAAATAACCAACCCAACCCATCATCAGTATATAAAGGTTACATTCACTATATAAGTCTTCTATATATAACAACCAAGAGAAATTGACAAAGACACAATTAATTACTCTTCGCCACCAAGAGGAGGATCCTGGTTCGGAGCAGTTCCTGAATCAGAGCCGGGATTCGAGAGTTGTTGTTGGTTGGTCGAACTAGTCGAAGATGAAGCAACCTCGATCGTAGGCGATCTTATCGAAGAAGAAGAAGAGATCGGGCCTTGTACTTCCTTGGCATCACGTGCTGCTTTTTCCTGGGCTTTTTTGGCTCTTTCTAAAACCTCCTCCTGTACAAAGTTTGTTTCCAGTATGGATATGCCATTTTCAGCAATATTAAGCTTCATTCACTTCAATCTAGTTTCAGAGGAAATTTAAAATGTTCTTAAGAGAACAATAATGCATGCATAAGGGAGTTTTCTTTGCTTTTACTCTTCGTACTCTACTAGGTCGATTTTAATCTCAAACTTCCAATCTCATCACATCGAAACTAAATCGAAAGCTACCCACGAGCCCCTAGCCATGAATTTTAGCCTAAAAACACTCGAAATGAATAAGAAAGATGCTAGAGCCACAGCAATTTTAAGCCATGCATCATGGTTTCAATAAGTAAAAGCTTCGATCCAGGCCTAACCTACAGCTACACTCAAAAAGTTTTAGCTCACCCCTAGCAGATATTGTTCTCTTTTATGCTTTCCCTTTCGAGCTTCCCCTCAAAGTCTTTAAAACGCGTCTGCTAGGGAGAGGTTTCCACACCCTTATAAAGAATGCTTCGTTCTCCTCCCTAACCGACGTGGGATCTCACAGCTGTCTTCTTTCGCTGTCCTTTATGTTTTTGTATAATCCACAGTACAAGAGACCACAATGCGGTGTCGTTTTCTCTTTTGATATCCATTCCTCGACAACTCTCACAAGACAACCATTTAGACTCGACTAAGTTTAGTTGTCGAGATAACTCATAGGACATCGGATTTTAAGTTCATTAGTTGGTCAACCGTTTTATCATGTAAAAGGGAAAGTAAATTAAAAACAAAGTTAGGAAGTTCTATCATTAACTTTAGAGCATCTTACCTGGAAATCAAGAAATTGTTTTTGTTGTTCAGCTTGCAGCCTACCAATCCCACTCAAAACTTCTCCAATTGTTGACTCAACGCGCTCGGTTAAGGCTTCTGCTAAAGCTTTTCCTAAGAAAAAGGCATTAAGAACAGTCCTGCTGTCGCCATCACCTGCATCATACAGCTAGCTCGTTGAATGCTTGATAACAGTAACGAAACTGTAAGATCATAGAAACCAAAAAGATTATGTTTCCACTGTGATTCTACAGATTTTTCTTCTAATAAGATCAATATCATCTTCTTAAGATCATTACCATCCCAAAAATTCATTAAGCTTCCAAATCTTCACCAAAAAAAGGAAAAAAAGTGCAATATTTCCTCCTGTAGAACGTGATAAATCTCATAAATTGATCCAAATTCAGAGTACAAAAAGGATCAAGGAGAACAAATTCCTACTCTAGAAAACTAATTAGCTCTTAATAAGGGGGAAATGGATACTAATCTTATAAAATCAGGCGAACTTCATACTTAATAAAGCCATTGACAACATATCAAACAGTTTGTAGGCATGTAATGAGATGAAATCCAAAACAAGTGTTCAATCTGCAAACAAAAATCAAGAAAAACGCAGAAATGCCCTCAAATCTGAGAATCAATAGCAGATTTAAACAGATTTCACCACTAAAACCTTCGTAAAATTCGCCAATAACTAACAAAAGAGACGAAAACAAAACAAAAACAGAGTAGGCGAAGATTCAAAGTACCAGAGCTGCAACGGACTACGAATCTGGGAGACCCAATTGGTGAAATCGGTCGAAATTTGAGATTTGAAGGAGATGAAAAGTGGGTAATCTTTGGTTTAGAGTGAAGAATTGAGAAATGGGAGGGGGAAACTGAAGGTGTAACCCCACTAGTCATTTCTGGGCGACGGGAACTGAAAAATGCGTGGCGTCACTTTCTCAGCGTTTCTCGCTCGTTTTCTTGACAGCCAAACAGGAATATATAAAGAAAGATTTTGGGGCTTGGACTGTATGATGTCAGCAACCCGGAAACGCCCCCTGATTCTTGACAAGAAGGCAAGCACAACGTGGCTCACTCTGGATTGTCCAATACCAGCTTCCATGGATGGGTTGTCCGAACCCTGCCTCCAATGAGATATATATATATATAATTAAATTAGGCTAAAATTAATTAAAAGAATATTCCTAAACTAATTTTAATAATATACCTAATATTTTTTTAAATTTAAAAATTGATTTATTGCTAGTTTCGGATGGAATCAAAAACACTTTAACTTTAAATAATATATTTTTTTAAAAAAAATTAATACGGACGAAAAAGTCTATCAACATCTCATATATTACTTTTATTTTTTTAATGTTTGAAATTTTATGGGTATTTTATAGGATTATTTTTGAATTTTTTATAAAAAAATATGAAATTCCATTTATATTGACGAAAAAAAATATTGTAAGAAAACAATAATTTGTAGTTTTTGAAAATAGGTTATTTTAGAATTTATCTTTTTAAAAATTATTTTTGAAAATAAATAAGATAAAAATAAAACCAATTACCAAATGTATTTTCATGGGTTTTCTGTATTTTTATTTTTAAAAACATAAACATAAAACAAAGAACATTTATTTATTTTCTTTTTAATTTTTTTATTTTAAAAAATATATATACCAATGAATTTAAAGATAATAATCATAAATAAAATTTAAAATCGACTGAAAGTATTTATTTATTTATTTTTTGTTCGTATGGCCCAGGCCCATAAAGTAAGCCCATAACTTTACAAGTGAAGTGCATCACCACCCAACCTTGTGAAACGCTGCGTTTTGAGTCCCCCATCAATGCGGCTAAGTCTGGCTATAAATATTCAAACCGATGCCCAGAGTCATTGTTTTTTATCATCTCACCATTCTCTGCGCTATATCTCAGCGAGTTCTTCATGCCATCTTTACCGTCGATCCAACTGCGGACGAGTTCCATCAAATTCTGCTTTTAGTAAACCCTAATCTTCCATGTTTTATAATCGAATTTTCCTTCTGCTATTGATGTTTTAATTTTAGTTTCCTGTTTTTTATTTCAATTATTTGTCATCCGGATTGGATGGGTTGCTGCTGCCCTTGTCTTTGATTCTGTGTTGTTTCTTGTTGAATTGTTTGATTCCTTTGGTAATTTGACTTTCTCTTTGTTGAGGCTATACTTGGTTTGATTCGGGTTAGGGTTTGTTTCGGAATTGGGGATCTGCTTATTTGGATGGATTTGGTCTTTTTTATTTTATTTTATTTTATTATTATTTTTATTTGTAATTATTATCCATTTATGTTCAATTGTTAATCAGGGTGGAAATTAAACGGGTTTATGATCAGAATTTAGGCATCAGAATCTATATCGGCTAATTTTCCTTATACTGCCTGAAGTTCAGCCTTGTTTTGGTTTCACTTAGAATTTTGATAGTAAGGGTGACGCTTTAAACTTGCTTCTATTTTTATAGAACATCGTAATTATGTGGGGTTGGGTGGGTTTCTTAGAATTTATTCCCCAAATCTAATTGAATCGGATGTTTTTTTATTGATGGGAAAAAGGGGGTTTAAGGGTTACCAGGAGGGATCATCAGATGGTTGATGTTATTGTGGTTGCCTCCCGTGCCTTTTTAAACTTGTACAGACAAAAGGGGATGTCGTTGCTTTTGCATCTCCGCTCCCTTTTTTCATATCAAAAAAGTTTGATGGATGGGGCATTGCCTTTGGAATCCGAAGAATGTGGGTTTGAATCTTCCTTAGGAGAGTGATTTTTTCGATCTTCACATATGCCTAATTTTTTGGTTCGGAAAGTTGTTTGTTGATTCTGCATTGTTATGGTTTCTTGTTTGTGTTGACACGATTTTGGCTGGGTTGGAGGGTTGGTAGAAAGACAATTGGCTAGGATTTTTGTGTAAATATATTTGGATGTTTTATTTGAGTTTTCAATTTTGGAACCTGATATTTGTTTGAATGGGTGTTCTTATTATGGAAATACCAATAGTTGTTGAAATAGTTTTCTTTTTTGTAGTTGTTTTTTTTCCTTAGAAATTGGGACTTTGTATTTATAACCATCAAATTTCTTTTACGCGGTATAAATGCAGGTCAAGGACTTGTACAGACCTTGGCGTCTTGGAGAAGTTGCTAATAGTTTTAGTCAAGGGTGTATTCCACCAATTACTACTACAGTTACAGTTCTTTGCTTTCAGTTTGTAGATCTGTGATTTTGCTTTAATAAAGACAAGAGTAAGCATTCTGTAGATTTGAATTGGTAGCACAAATAGAGATTGAGAAGCCTCCTGTAGGAAATATATAAGAGCTGCTTCTCTTGGTGAGTAATCATGCAATTGCTTGATATATTTTCAGGTGATATGCTCATGTGTTAATCGTATCTTGCATGTAAGGCTACTCTCCAGCATTTGCACAGATAACTTATCATTCATTTATTTGAGGCCGTCTTTAAATTTGGATCAAATTTTTTGTGTTTATGTTCAATTTATTGTTTACAATATGCACTTTGACAATAAGAAATGAAAAACTTCGACTTTGAAATGGAAAAAATTTGCATCAATGGTCATCCGCTCCTGCATGTTGCTAATAATTTTTTGTGTCTACTTCTACAGGTCCTCATTTAAGTTTAGAGCACCTTTTCTTTTGTATGCATTTGTGATTTATGTGTTGGTGGTATGATGTATTTGATCTTTTTCTGTTATATAATTGGTTGCTTTCTTAGTAATAATTGTGAGAATACTTTGTTTCTATTTAGAAACCTTATAAACAAACACTTTCTTGTCAAATTTTTTTTTAGCGGTTTTCGTATTGCTTTTATTTTACTATAAGCATTGTGTTATTGCTGTCGATAAAAAGTGTTCTGATCAATTAAATATGCTTAGTGGTTTACCTAGCGTTCAAGATGGCTGGTGTGAAACGAAGAATTCATAATGATTCAGATATCCTTGCTATGCATAAAGAATTGGATGAAGTCTCCTGCCCTATCTGCATAGACCACCCACATAATGCTGTTCTTCTACTTTGCAGCTCTCACCACAAGGGTTGCAAACCTTATATATGTGACACAAGCCATAGACATTCAAATTGCTTTGACCAATTCAAAAAATTAAGAGAAGAAACTAGGAAGAGTCCACGCCTACCAAGTCCTTTACCTATGAATCCATATAGTTTTAGTAGTCCTCCTACGAACAACCTGGGTTTGGGCATTGATTTGAATGAAGTTGATGAAAACCAAAATATAAATGAAAGAAACACTGCTGCATCTCCTGGATTATCTGTTGTAGTTTTAGGGGATAATGGAACTGAAAATTCTAATAGAACTTTAGACACAACTGAGGGTGGAGATTTGGACACTGCCGGTTCTGGGTTCCTAACTCAGAGGGCTGAGCAGGAAGGTCTGGATGCTGGGAACTCATCTGAGTACTCAAATTTGAAGTGCCCCATGTGCCGAGGAGCTGTGCTAGGCTGGGAAGTTATAGAAGAAGCAAGAGAATATCTTAATCTAAAGAAACGAAGTTGCTCCCGGGAGACTTGCTCATTCTCTGGTAACTATCAAGAACTGCGCAGGCATGCGAGAAGAGTTCATCCGACATCGCGGCCTTCTGTGACAGACCCATCTAGAGAACGGGCATGGCGACGCTTGGAGCGCCAGAGAGAAGTGGGTGATGTTGTCAGTGCTATTCGCTCAGCCATGCCTGGTGCCCTTGTGGTTGGCGACTATGTCATCGAAAATGGAGATGGTATGGTGGCAGGTGAAAGAGACAATGGCAACAGAGATGTCAATGGGCCATTGCTGACTAGTTTCTTTCTGTTTCATATGTTTGGATCGGTTGATGGTGGTGCTCGAGAGCCAAGGCCACGTTCAAGGTCGTCTTGGGTGAGGCGTCGGCGCTCTGGAGGAGGAATGATCGTACCAGAGCGTCAATTCCTTTGGGGTGAAAACCTTTTGGGAATGCAAGAAGATGCGGATGAGGATTTCCGAATATACATCGGAATGGGCGATGATGCATCACCACCTACGAGAAGGCGACGTGTAACAAGGCCTGGATCTGATGCAGATCAACCATGAGAGGAGGATCCTTCTTCTGTGGTAAACATCTATGACCTTGAGTTGAGGGAGATTTGTTCCCAATGGAGTGTGTTTGTTGTCGGTCTGAATGCCTAAAAAGGTTCACTCTTAACCCCACAGGCAGGCAATCATAGCATCAAACCATGTTGTGGGGTCGTGGGGGAACATCAAGAATTCACTTGGCCATCGTGTTGATGCAAAATACTGAGTCTGCAATCCTTGCATCATTTTTATTTGAATTCAAGTTTATTATATGAATCAAAGTCTGTTTCTAATCTTTGTATATAATGGGATTACGATATTTGATTTGTTGAATGGGTGTGATGGTGGCTTTATTATATAACCTGTCAAGTAGGCCTGCCTGCCTTATTTATTTATGTGGTTACTGAATCCTATGGAATATATGGTTGGAAGATTGCATTTGTCATTGTTTTTTTTTTGGCAGGGCGATGACAAGATGGCTGCTTTATATTGCGATATACAGGTTCTACATTTACTGAATCCTTTTTCTAATTTTGTGTTCAAAATATTGAAAATGATAATTTGACATATCTATCTATATCTATGGATGAGATAAAATGATAATTTCATCCAATTATGCCTAAAAAAATGGTCATAATTGATTGAAATTGATATTTGTAGTTGACCAGGACCATAAATTATTTAATTGACCCTAAAAATGAACAATAAATTAGGTTCGAAAGATGAATTATTTAAATAGAATGTTGAATAGCGTGCGAGCATGAACAACTCCAACAACACTTGATTAATAATATACTAATGTGAAGAGAGTTATCCGGTTTGGTGGTCGTGAATCATGGTCGTTGGCGGATGAATATGGAGGGATTTGGGGTTCCAGTTCATCGTCAAACCAGCCCTCCAGGTTTGTTCCATATTATTTCCCCCTTTTTCTTATTCTTCATATAATAAACTTGAATTCAACACAACTACTTCACTGTTTTTTCGATTATATTCTCTACACCACAAACATTCCATCATTGTTATGTGGAAGCCGATGATGCTCCGACTGCAATTTGTTGAATTCAAAAATACCAACACAATTTATTTGTTTCTTAATAAATCTTCTTCTTCTCATCACAAAGCATTAGGACATAATAAATTTAATTTTCTATTACTTAGTTTAATTATGTTAAATTTAATAAAATTTTCCTAATTTTTCATCCCAATTAAAAAATTTTAAATTAATGAACCGAACTCAAGTAAGCAAAAATTCAAAGTATAAGTAGAAAATTTTAAAACTTAGAACTTTTTTTTTTTTAGGGCAATAATGTAACGTTAGCGACGATACAAATGTAACATCTTGAGGAGAAAAATTTGTGTTGTGGTTGTATATTAAATTTGTAAACCAATGAGGTTCGTTCTTGGTGGATTAATTACTGCTTAGGTGCTTCATGCCGAACTCTTTTGAAAGCCAATACCCTCCATGTGGAGATACCTTCACACAGTACGGAATCAGTCTCACGCGAGCACCGCCTTCAAAGATCAAAAACCGAGACGCATAGACGCGAAACCATATTTGCTGCAGATGCCCTTCAAATATACGATAATAAAATCCCCATTCATCACAAGGTATGCATTCCACAAAATTCTCTTCAGTCCTCAAATGTTGATTCCTTTTAATCATTACAAATTTTGCAGTTCAAATTGTTGCAAAGAGTAGCCACCGTGAAGGATGATGGAAGTGTTGAGTTTGAAGTTGAAGGAGACATCGAATCCGAATCGATTAACGTTGAATCTGATGAACCCCTGGATGAAGCTGAGTTTGAGTATATAAGGCCTATGCAAATTGTAATGCTCATTGTAGGTACCCGGGGAGATGTGCAGCCATTTATCCCAATCGCCAAGCGGTTGCAGGTAATCCTGTATATACATCTGTATCTATATCTATATCTGTATCTGTATTGAGAGTTATGTATGTATGTATGTATGTAGGATTATGGTCATCGTGTTAGATTAGCTACTCATCCAAATTTCAAGGAGTTTGTGTTGATGGCTGGCTTAGAATTTTATCCTTTAGGAGGCGATCCTAAACTGCTTGCATCTTGTACGTTCTTCACACACCTTTTTCAAACATATTTATTCTACAAATCCATGAATCAAAATCCTGTTTTTTATTTGAAACAGATATGGTAAGAAATAAAGGGTTCTTGCCCTCTGGGCCTTCTGAGATACTCATTCAAAGAAACCATATGAAGGAAATTATTTATTCCCTTCTTCCAGCTTGCAAACAACCTGATGTGGATACTGGTATTCCCTTTCAAGCAGATGCAATCATTGCCAACCGTACAGCATATGGTTAGATTTTGTCGCCCGATTGAATTTTTAAAAATTATGTTGGTACAACGTTGAACTATATTGATTTATTAGGATTTTTTTTAAACTTTAAAATAACATTTCTTTAAAGAATAATAAACGTGACAAAATTATTGTGGGGAACCCAATCCCTACCTCTATCTCCACAAAAATAAATGAGAAATTTCATCCAGGATTGGAAGGCTTCCTCATCTCCGCCCTGCTCCGTAGACATCTCTAGTCTTCTATAGTAAACTACGAGGAAAATGCACTATCGCAGGCATGAACATGAAAAAGTCGAGAAAATAAACAAAACTAATCACTTTGGACAAGCATGACCAAGACACTCAGCGTCGGTATTGCTGTTTTTGCAAATTCTTTACTTTACTAACTCTCATAAACTCTGTTTTGTAGGGCATACACACGTTGCAGAGGGACTTAAGCTGCCACTTCATATATTTTTTACGATGCCATGGACGTAAGTCTTGTGTGGGTGATGAATCAGTACCTGCTTGAGTTGTTGTAATGCTTATAGTATAGTTGTATGCTCTCCTCCAGGCCAACTACTGAGTTTCCACATCCATTATCCCGTGTGAAGCAACCGGCAGGGTATAGGGTGAGTCTGTTGGTTGCTTTTGAATATTCATTCACTTTGAATATTCACTTAAAGCTTTGATTCTCCTTCATTTCCAGATTTCATATCAAATCGTTGATTCCTTGATTTGGCTTGGCGTGCGGGATATCATTAATGATTTCAGGAAAAAGAAGCTTAAGATACGACCTGTAACATATTTAAGTAGTTCACGATTCTCCGAATCTGATGTGCCACATGCTTATTTGTGGAGTCCCTACCTTGTTCCTAAACCAAAAGGTGTTGATTTTTACACATTTTTATTTGTGGAGTCAAGAATTCAATTTTTGGATGACTTTTTATTTTCCCTAATTCTTAGATTGGGGGCCTAAGATTGATGTTGTTGGATATTGCTTCCTTGACCTTGCATCAAATTATGAACCCCCTGAGTCACTGGTGAAATGGCTTGAAGCTGGGGACAGCCCTATTTATTTTGGTTTTGGCAGCCTTGTAAGTTTCTTGCTTCTTCCTCAACATTTGAAAGTATCGTACAAGCATGGTTTTAGCTACTTTTTTTTCATTTGTTCTTCAGCCTGTACAAGAGCCTGATAAGATGACACAGATTATCATACAAGCATTGGAAAGAACTGGACAGCGGGGTATCATTAACGAAGGGTGGGGTGGCCTTGGGAGGTGTAAGTGTTTATTTTCAGTTCACTGCACATTGTTTATGGATTGCTTACATGACTGAATATTATATCTTCCCAGCTGCAGAACCCATGGACTTCATATATTTGTTAGACAATTGCCCTCATGATTGGCTTTTTCTCAAATGCAAGGCTGTGGTGAGGCTTGATTGTTGCTTTGAGTGTATTTTACTGCCTATATATTGTATTGTTTAAGCATTGCAAGGGTCCTCAGGTGCATCATGGTGGTGCTGGAACAACAGCTGCTGGCCTGAAAGCTGCGGTACTCGTTTCATCCGATACGTGTTTTGGGTTTATAGTTTGATATGATTTGGTTATGATTATCATTGAATTCCACAGTGCCCAACTACAGTTGTTCCATTCTTTGGTGACCAACCTTTCTGGGGGGATAGAGTACATGCCAGAGGAGTCGGCCCTCCACCTATCCCGGTTGACGAGTTCTCGCTTCCAAGATTGGTGAATGCTATAAACTATATGCTCGATCCCAAGGTAAGACCGAAATTCCCTTCTATTTAGTCTTTAACTCAATTCAAGAAAGCTTGGGATGATTTAGTTGATTCTAGTGAAGTATATCAAGCAAGTGACATGACAGGTAAAAAGGCAGGCTGTCGAGCTTGCAAAGGTTCTCGAGAACGAGGACGGGGTCGAAGGAGCTGTGAGAGCATTCTTCAAGCAACTTGGACGGAGGAAACGCGAGCCAGAGCCTGAACCTGAACCTCAGAGGTCAAGTCTTTTGTTTATAAGAAAATGTTTTGGTTGTTCTTGAATCTTGGATAGTGGCGATTCTCAATTCACTTTGCAAGGACCATTTTTTGCTGATCTTGTGAAGTTTATCATCGTTACACATAATAACATTACTTGTATAAATTGTTGTAAAGGCTGAGAGGCGAAACTCTTGAATGTGTGTATTGTCAATCAGAAAAAAGAACAGATAAAGCTCACAAGAATATGTATAAATACCTGTTACTAGCATGAATGAACACTATCAGCATGTTCTTGTAAAAAAATAAGAGAAAAAGTGAAAGAGAGTGGAATATAATGATATTAGTGAAGATCATCATGATTTTGAAGTGACATAAAAGGGATCAAAAAGGGGTACCGATTTCGCTTCTTGTTTCTGTTGGGCTGTACAGAGCAGATCTGTTTCTTGGTCTGTTTTCTTCCAGCTGCTTCACAACTTCATCCATGGAGGGTCTCACAGAAGCCACTGGTGCACAGCAGCCCATTGCGAGCTTCAATGCCTGAACCACTCCATCTTCCATGGGACTTCTAATCCCTTTCAAAACCTCCACATCAAACACCTCCATTGTTGTCTCCTCCAGAACTGCCACTTTTACCATTGATGGCAGATCCACAAACTCTCCACTTCTTCCACTCTTCCCTGGCTTCTTCCCAATCAGAATCTCTAACAGCAAGATCCCAAATGCATACACATCTGTTCTTGAATTGCATTTCTTCATCCTTTGCAGCTCTGGTGCCTTGTACCCGTCCGACTTTGCAAGCGATACAATCTCGTCAGCTACCGATGGAATCATTAGCTTGTCGAGCCCGAACTCTGTCAGTCTCACTGTAAAGAAGTCGTCCACAAGTACATTTTTTGATCTCACATTACCATGTGTAATGGGGACTTCAAGACCAGTGTGAAGATGAGCTAGTCCCCGGGCGACGCCTAACGCAATCTTGTGCCTCCTAGCCCAGTTCAACACTGGTTTTCCTGCTCTAGATTCTGCATTCAATCAGAAAGAAAAAGAATTCTCTGTTGATATAGCAATACAGCCATGAAATGAAGCTTTACAGAATGTGCATACCATGAAGAAAATCATGTAAAGTTCTGATCGGCAGATAGTCATATATGAGCAGCTTTTCTCCTCTCTTTCCCTGATAGAACGCTCTCAAAGGAATCAAATTCTCATGGCGAATCTTTCCCAATTGTTTAATCACAGACGAGCAAGTGTTTCTGTCTTTGCAACTACCTTCTCTCAGGAGTCTCAGAGCAATGGTACCTCCATCAGCAAGCTTTGCTTTATATATCGTGCCATAGCTTGTTTTCTCCATAACCTGCCCTGTAGCATTCAAGACATCATCCAATGTCAAATGCTCACCACCCTGAAACAAAATGAGCTTTCCTTCACCACCTGTGCCGCCGCCGATACCGCCGCCCCCGTTTTCTTCATCTTCTCCTTCCTCAATCTCATCTTCACTCTCAGTTATCTTCTTCTTCTTGTTTTGCATATAACCAATAAGCAATGAAGCTAAAACAACCGTCCCAGTCATCAAGCCGATGACAAGACCAGCAATGGCGCCTGAACTCAAATGAGAAGCTCCTGCACAGCTTTTCAAAGGCTCCCCACAAAGCCCAGGACTGTTCCCTTCAAAAGCCTCCACACCAAACTTTGAGTTATTACCAAACACAGGCAATATTCCACTGAAGTTGTTATTTGAAAGGTTCAACTTCTCCAGCTCTAACTGGCCTAAGCTCTGAGGGATTTGTCCAGACAACAAATTGTTCCCAAGATCAAGCTCTTTCAAGCCCTGAAATCTAGTAATGAATTCTGGGAAAGTACCTGAAATCTGGTTGTTGCCAAAATCCAAAGCCTCCAAACTCTTGCAGGTGGAATCTGGTAAAGCCGGCTCAGGCAGAGACCCAGATAATGAATTCCCATCAAGCCTGACAGAAACAAGTTTATCACACAGATTCCAGATCGAGGGTGGAAGAGCTCCACTCAACAGATTGCTACTCAAATCAATGTCAGAAAGAGAGGAGCTATAACCAAGTTCAAGTGGAATGGGTCCAGTCAAAGAGTTTATGTTGAGATAGAGACTTTGGAGCATAGTAAACTCCCCAAGCTCCTTAGGCAAGGAACCAGAGAGGTTAGCAGAAGGAAGTTGCAGGGAGAGAAGATGAAGAGAAGGGTCTTTGAAGAGAGTGAGATTAGACCACTGGGGAGAAGAAGAATCACTGCAAACCAGAGATGTTCCATTAGAGAAGACCCATTTGAGTCCCCTCCATTGACAAAGTGGCAAAGAGTAATTCCATGAAGACAAAAGCAAGTTCTGAGTATCACCTTCAAGTGAAGCTCTGATCTTTTCCAGAAGAAGCTGAACATCAGAAGAAGGGAAATGCAAGGAATCACCACCTTGAACAGGGGCTCTGTTCAACAAGAAGAATGAAAGACAGAGAGCCAAAAGCTTCAAAACCGCCATGACTATGGAGAAAGAGGAGAGAAATGGGGAAAGTTAGTAGAATCAATCACCAAGAGAGCTTCTTTTATCTTTTTTACTGGAAAAAGCTGACAGAGTGTTGACTATGAGTGAACTGATAGTCCAATTACTCATCCTCCCACAATCTCCACCGTCCGATCTGTACAAAGACAAACATCAGACAGATTAAAAACATCTTGGAATGGCAAACCGGATAGGTATTATTATAATCGTTTACTCTCTTTATTTCTGTATTTCTTTTCTTTTTAATCTTTTGTTTCTGCACGCTTGCCCTTCACATTCATTTTCCTTTTTCTATTTTTGTTGGGTTTTTCAAATTTGGTGTGGAGAAAGAGGAGAGAGAGAGATTTCCCCATTGAACAGCCCACCAAGCTTCGTCCTTTTTTTAACGGATAGTTGCAGAGGAGCTCTGGGTGGGTGGGACGCACCTCTCATCACTTGACACGTGGCTTGTTATAAATGATGATGAGGATCAACAATGGTTGTGTGTGAGTGTGGAGTTCAATCCATAATGGTTGTGTGTGAGTGTGGAGTTCAATCCATGGAGCTCACATGCAGAGTTGCATTTCTTCTTTCGGCTCTGGGCCATCCATGCTTTCCCCAAACAAGCACACCGTTGGAAATTGTTGGGATAAGTTGGGGATTTTAAGGCAAGTTTTACTCTTGCAATTAAACGATTATTTTATTCAAACAAGTTATATTCATTAATAGTTTATGCTAAATTTTAGGATAATAGATTAATAAATAATATAGTAAAAATCCAACATTGTGATCCTATCGTAAGAAACTGATGTAAGCTTTGAACAAATATTACCTATTTCGTAGAAAAAAATTAATTTTGTTTCTTCTTCAAACTTAAACATACTATTCATTCAATCTTACGAACAAGTCTACAAGAATTTACCTAAAGAACAATGACATCTCTATTTTCACTTATAAGACAATGACGACATTTTACTTTAGTTCTTGAACTTCGACACTTTTTTCAATTTAGTACTTACATTTTCAATGGTTCTAGTTCGATTCTTTCAGCCCTAATTCACCATATTATCGATTAATAATTATACTGAGTAACTTTAATGAATTCCGGAATCTGTCCCTTTTGTAACTATTTGATAAAAATAACAAACATTTTTTTTTAAAAATAAAGCAAGGATCATTATTCGCTCCACAGCATAAGAGAAGATAAGATCAGATCATAGAAATTTATTTACCTGGATGGCTTTACTTACCTTAGCTCCCAATTCTGCCTTTTTCCCATTCACACTCATGCCAATGTCTAGCAATCAACAATTCCTTTTCCATAAACAAATAATTATGTATCTTACCATGGGACGATAAAGGAGAAGCATTGTGATATGATCTTTTTGAAAGCAGTCTTATTTTCATTATGATTCTCTTACCGCTAATAAACTTAGCTTTATAATAAAGTTGGAAATATGGAGAACTTTTTTAGACAAGAATCGATAAGGCAATACCAACTCTTAAGATTTCGATATAAGGTATCATCAAAGTTGGAGCTATAATATAAAGTTCAAGCACCGGAAGATCGAGGCAGTCTATTTGTATAGAGAGGATGAAATGGAAGGACAAAATTTTATTCTCCATCTTCGCTCTCGTCCATGATCTTGTAGAATCGAGGACGGTTTCAAGATTATATTCCCCCAAAATATTTTCTCTTCTGATGTCCATGCATATATGACTAAAAAAAATTACTAAAACATACATTTTACGACTTGTTCGATCATACTTTTGGAGAATGTCCAAATGATTGAATTTAAGAATTAAAATAAGGTTCTAAATCTAAATCTAAACCAAAATGATTGAAATAATAGGCCATGGTGGGTCTAAGGACTCCGGGGGTTTAATCATTTATTACCCAACTTATTTAATATTTTACTCAAACAAATAATTTCAAATCGGCTTTCATTCTATTATTTTTAATCTCTAGAGATAATTTCTCTTCTTTTTATTTTTTAAAAACAAAGGCACTTCAGCTTTTTGGTATAGCCAATCCACAATTTGAGTGGCCCCAAAAAAGCAAAAACAAAAGGGGTTTTCATTACAATTCTTTGATGGCTTCAAATTGGGTATCTTAAAATTCAAACACAGCAGAAACTTTGCAGCCAATCACAATGAGTTGTGAATCATAAAAATAAAGAAGAAGACAAGAGAATTATGAAGATGCCTGAATTGAGGAACAAGAACTCTAACCTGAATAATGATGTCGAAGCCTCATGCCTACTGCTTTCTCCACAGCCTTTGTGGGTTTGATACATTTTGTTCAGCATGGTGGAAGCATCCTCATTACCTGTTTGATGAGATTGGAATTGATGCAGAGTTATCATAACTCTAAAGAAAAAAACATGCACCAAAAACAAGAAGGTTCTAATGAGATTGGAATGTTTGAAAAGATTCTCATTGTCTAGTGGAGCGGACTTCAGCAACACAATGATTTGGCATTTGTAAATCAGGGAGATGAGCTTTATTGAAGCGTGACAATCCTAAGTGGATATTGTGGGGCTGTAATGGTTAATCCAAACGTCCTTACAAGTACAATTTCCCAAACAACCATACATATTTGACAGAGCAACGCAGGATTACCTGTTATGACGAGCCAACTCCATTGAAGTCTAAGCCACACGCTCACCCACTTCTATGTTGTTGTGCATTTTGCAAGCACCAAGCAAAGCTTTCATAGCACCAAGGCAGCCTCTCAAAGACCTGAAGTCCCTTCTCAATGCACCCTTGTTTGAAATACATGTTCACCGAAGCAGGGCGGAGCTCATCATCCATTTCAGTCTCGTTCTTTCGTGCATATAAATGGATCCATTTCTCCAATTCTAATGCACCCATTCGAGAAATGGCAGGCAAGATACTCACCAAAGTCGCATAGTTTGGAGCATGATTCGAAATTTGCTTCTTCAAACATGTTTACAGCCTCCATGAAATGCCCATTTTGAGAATACCCCGATATCATCACGTTCCATGACACTTCACTTCTGTGAGGCATTTCGTCGAACAGGTTCTTAGCATTCTTTAAATGGCCAAGTCTAACATGCCCATCGAACATCATTATCCACAAAACACTCCTATCTTGTCTCATCTTATCTAACTCCATCCGAACCAGATGACTAATTACAAACTCATCCCCATCAAAACCAAACTTTACAATCAACCCATGTACCTGTTTCCCCTTCGAAGCTCTAGCGCAGGCCTTCAATACAGAAGGGAATGGGAACCGATTGGGCTTCACATGCCGATCGCACAACATGTCGCAAAAAACATCGACGCCTCCGATCGATGATGTTCTCCGTTACATAGCAGAAGCTCTCACAATGGTGTTCCAACACAAGCAATTGAGCTCCGGCATCTGGTGGCGATATCAAGTTGCTACGAAAAGGCACAGAATCTGACCACTTTAGCCGTAATAAGAGGGTCTTGAATTTTACCGGTTTCGATGACAACGCGCGATGTTAGTGCTTCTTCGAGGATTGATGGCGGTTGAACCTAGAAATTGACGTTCCCGTTTGGGTTGTAAATCCACCGATTATGGCACTCTCGTTTGATAAATCCTTCGGAAATCAATTTTGTTTGATTTATTAATCGGTTCATAGGTAATTTTCTAGTTTAATTTCGAAGAGATATTAAATGTACTTACTCAATTTAAAACTTTATCCAACCAATACCTCCCTTCAGAGATCACCGCCACCGCTCACGTGCGGCCATCGCTCTAGCACCACCTTCCACCGTCGCACGACCACCATTGGCAACCAAATTTGCAGCCAAACTACCGTTTCGGCGACCCGATTGTACGAATTTGAACTTATTTGGTGTCCTCCGATCAATAATCTCCGTAGAGATAGCAACTTTTTCAAAAATAATTTCATTAGCAAAGAGTTGGGTAGATCCACCAAGAACAATAATCAAATGGTTCTCTAATATTATACTCCAAAGGTCACATAATAACAATAATATTGTTATATGGTACAAATTAAAAGGACCTTAATTAACAATAAAAAAAAACCTACCAAATTTATCCCAATTATCCCTCTCCATATTATTCATCATCATATCATCACATCATCACATCACTTAATTTCTGTTATTTTGCTGACCATAGAAAGAGAGCAATCAAAAAGCTTCTCAATAACGCAAAACCCTCTTTTATATATATACGTATGCTTGCTTTTATCTGTGTTCTTCATGCAGTGGTCAATGCCCCTTTACAATCTTCAACAGACAAGCTGATGGAAACATGCAGTTGTCAATGGCTGTTTTTGAGGGAAGAGAGACATGGGTTTTTTCTCTCTCTAAATTCTTCACTGCCTTTTCAAGGTCGCGACCGCCGTGGGTGAAGATGTCGAGCCCTTTCTCTGCAACTTTCCCGGCCTTTTGCTGTCGGGTTTCGACCCCGGTTGCCGTACTTTCACTCCTCGAATCATCTGTTACAATATTCAGCTCACTCAAATATTCATGGACCTCTCTACCTAGGTTCTACTCGTACCTGACTCGAATATTCATACTCATAACTTCTACGTAGGTTATTATAACAACCTAAGCTCACCACTAACCGATATTGTCCACTTTGGCTCGTTACACAGAGCCACCAGTCTCATTGTTTTAAAACGCGTCTACTAGAGAGAGGTTTCCACACGTTTACGAGGAATGTTTTGTTTCCTCCTCCACTCAATGTGGAATCTCACAATCCACCCTCTTGTGGGTCCAGGGTCCTCGCTAGCACACTATTGGTGTCTGGCTTTGATACCATTTGTAACAACTCAAACCCACCACTAGAAGATATTGTCCACTCTGACCCATTATCCATCCTCTTGGGGATCCAGCGTCCTCGCTAGCACACTGTTGGTGTCTAGCTTTGACACCATGTGTAACAACTCAAACCCACCACTAAAAGATATTATTCACTTTGACCCATTATCCACTCTCTTGGGGTCCAGCATCCTCGCTAGCACACTGTTAGTGTCAGGCTTTGACACCATTTGTAACAACTCAAACCCAGAACTAGCAGATATTATCCACTTTGACCCATTACGTTGCACCACCAACTTCATGGTTTTAAAACGTGTCTACCGAGAGGTTTTCACACCTTTATAAGAAATGTTTCGTTCCCCCCTCCACCCAACGTGGGCTCTCACCATTACACTCATTTTGAAAGTACAAGAACTAAAATGGAACGAAGTAACGAAACCGAACAACAACGAACCGAAACTTACATATTTCCCACACTTGACATCTGAGTAGATGACAATGAAATCTCCTTCTTGAAGGCCATTGGCTCTCACAAAGTCCCCTAAAGAAATTTTAAATTTTAAAAAAAAGATCATAAAAATCATTAAAATGGGTTCATTCATTCATTCATACCTGTGTTTTCAAGCAGATACATTCTGCTTTTGTTGTTTGGCCAATACCTATAATTAACAAATAAAAATGATTAATTCATTAATTAATTAATTAATTTACAATTTTCCACTTGAATATTAAAATTTTATAGCATACCTATAACGCATATTCCAAACTTTGGAGGTTCCAATATCTTCCATGGCAATGGAAATGCCATCTCTTGCCTCCAATTCTGGGAGATGAGTTTCTGCTTCTTTCTGAAACAAAACCCAGAAAATATGAACACTTCGAATTCGAGTTCGGGTTTCCGTTCGATCTAAAATTTTATTAGAAAAGTTCTCCATTTATGTTTTTGGGTACCTTCGGCAATACAATTCTCCCCAAATTTCCCACATCGCTTTGCTTCAACACCTTCTGTAAAAGAAACCTCAAATTCTTCTCTGATTTCCATCCCTAAAACAACACAATATTCTCAATCAAATCTCCCTAAATTATAATCTATTGTATGTTAAAGGACTCATAGAATCCAACCTGTCGTCGGTGCGTCGGGATCGGCAGTAGAAAGTTCTGATTAAGCCGATCGACAGAATATACAGGAGACGAGTCCACCGGACAACCAGCACCGGTGGGGGATGGCCAGTAGACCCAGTTTGTAGAATTGGGCTGAACAGTTGTAGCCATGGTGCAATGATCTGAAGCATTAGTATTCATCTGAATCGGATGCTGATTCTGGTGGCTACCGTGACGGTGGTGAGCTGAAAATCGCCGCTGCCTCGCCATTCTCTTCTTCCGAGCCTCCTTCGTGGCGGAGGAATCCAGCCTAACTAAACTAGTATCACCACCACCACCACCACCACCCTGCCCTTGAAAATACTGACCCATGTAAGGGTGGTACTGATGGCCACCGCCGTACCCGGCTGCGATACCATGGGGTTGCAGCGGTAACGGAGGTGGCCCCGCCGTGAAATTGTCAATGAATGAATTGAAACACGGCGCAAATGGGGAGTCAAGTAATTGGTAGTGATCAGAAAAACCATGGCTGGTGGCGTAAGCATCTCCGCCGCCAGCCGGGGCATAACCGATCACCGGCGGAGAGGGCAGCGGAGCTTGAAACCCTAAGAAATTCGCTTCGTCTTTGAATTTCCTCTTGTGAAGATGATTGGTTTGAACCCATTGAAGAACAAGCTTCAAAAGCTGCTTCATTCCCTCCTTGCCGCCGCCGAGACGGCGGGCGGCGCTGTCAATAGTGGCTTTTTTAATCCTAACATTCCTCAAATCATCAGCAGAAACCGTCTCTTTATTACTCCTCAACCACTCCAAAAACACCTTCGCCATATCCTCCTCCTCCTCCACTACGACGTCGTTTTGCTTCCCCTCATCAATTTTACTCCCACCTTCTTCATGCATCATCATCAAATCCTCCATTACCACTTCTTCAAAGCTCTCCAATTGCAAATCCTCTAAAGGGTCTTTTTGTTCTTCATTTTGAAAAATACACGTCGGATCAAAAAACTCATTGCTGTCTTCGACTAAATTCATGTATCCAAATGTGTCCATCATCATCATGTCGTCCGTACAATCAACGTCGTTGAACCCTGTCTCCGCCGGCGGCGGCGGCGGCGATGACATGGCGGCTGCAACGGAGGTGGAATTATTATTATCATTTACTCGTATTTCTTCAATGGGTTCCTCAGCATCGGATTTCAAAATTGCCCATGAAGTGGTTGAGGAAGAGGAGGTCGACGGCGAGGAAGCTGTAGCCTTGACCGGAGCCGGAGTCAACGACGAGGACGAGGACGACGACGATGACATGCAAGGGAAATCCGACAGCGGAGGGAAATCAGAGTAGAACATTAGAGTGTCGTCATCATCAGACAGAAAGTTTTGATGATTTTGAGGAAACCAAATCTGTGTCTGATCCATTTGATGTTGTTCTTGTTCTTGTTGTTC